GGAGGAGGAGGAGGAGGAGGAGGAGGAGGAGGTGGCGGAGGAGGTGGCGGAGGAGGAGGAGGAGGAAAGGGCGGAGGGGAGCAAAAACCGAGGGCCATGCCCAGGACTGAGCGCGGAACTTCGATGTCGATCTTGGCCACCGTCCCTCCTGGTCGGCGTCAATTCGTAGATCAGCCGCGCGGGTCGACGACGACGACGACCATGACCACGATTGGCGTCGACAAGATCCCGCGACATCTTGGTCATGGCCCCCGTGTTTCTTCCCCCGAGCGGAGGAGGAGCTTCAGATGCTCGATCCGGGGGCAATCCTGGCGCCACTCGGTCCACCCATGCGTCGATGCTGCGCCGAACGTCCGTCGACTTGAGTCGAATCCGAGTCTGCCAGGGTCGAGCTAGAGGCAACCTGGAGTCGAAGTAAGAAGTCGAACAGATCCGCCAGGTTGGCCCCAGGGGAGTCCTCCAAACGAGGATCCAACGAGCTTGCCGCAGGAAGACCTCGGGCACGAGGCCGAGGGAGCCCAAACTGCTCCTTCGAACATACGCTCCCGCCCGGGGGTCGAAAATGATGAGAAGAGGAAGAGGAGGAGGGGGAGGAGGAGGAGGAGGAGGAGGAGGAGGAGGAGGAGGAGGAGGAGGAGGAGGAGGAGGAGGAGGAGGAGGAGGAGGAGGAGGAGGGGGAGGAGGAGGAGGAGGGGGGAGGAGGGGGAGGAGGAGGAGGAGGAGGAGGAGGAGGAGGAGGAGGAGGAAGAGGAGAAGGAGGAGGAGGAGGAGGAGGAGGAGGAGGAGGAGAAGGAGGAGAAGCAAGAGGAGGAGGAGGAGGAGGAGCACTCGCGGGCGGAAAATGTCCCTTTCCGTACTGCTACTGCTCCTTCTTGTGCATGATGGGGTGGCTACTAGGTGTTCCAACTCAGCGGGCCCTGACCCATGTGGGCACGAAGCTGCAGAAGTAGCCTGGCGAGGGACCCATCTTCGGTTGAGCTCCCTATGGGGCCACGAAACGTGTGAGGGATGTGACGCAACGGGTGGGGGGGCGCATGTGGACGGCGGCACTGGGGCCTTCAGTGGAACTCCCCATGGGGCCACGAACCGTGTGAGGAGTGTGCCGAAATGGGTGGCGGGGACATGCGGACCCTGCCACTGGGGCCTTCGGGGGGGCTCCCTATGTGGCCACGAACCGTGTGAGGGGTGTGACGCAGTGGGTGGGGGGCATATGGACGGTGGCACTGGGGCCTTCGGTAGGGCTCCCTGTGGGGCCACGAACCATGTGAGGGGTGTGCCGAAATGGTGCGGCGGCGCCATGCAAACTCGGCCACTGGGGCTTTCGTTGGGGCTCCCTATGGGGCCACGAACCGTGTGAGGGGTGTGCCGAAATAGGGCGGCGGCGCCACGCGGACCCTGCCACTGGGGCTTTCGTTGGGGCTCCCTATGGGGCCACGAGCCGTGTGAGGGGTGTGCCGAAATGAGACGGCGACGCCATGAAGACCCGGCCACCGGGGCCCAGGGGCCACGAATCGTGTGAGGGGTGTGCCGACATGGGGCGGCGGCGCCATGCGGACCCTGCCACTGGGGCCTTCGGTGGGCCCACTATGGGGCCACGAGCCGTGTGAGGGGTGTGCCGACATGAAACGGCGACGCCATGCAGACCCGGCCACCGGGGCCTTTAGTGGAGCTCCTATGGGGCCACGAACCGTGTGAGGTGTGCCGGAATTAAACGGCGGCGCCAGGAGGACACTGCCACGGGGGCTTTCGGTGGGGCTCCCGATGGGGCCACGAACCGTGTGAGGGGTGTACCGAAATGGTGCGGCTGCGCCATGCGGACACTGCCACGGGGGCCTTCGGTGGAGCTCCCTATAGGGCCACGAACCGTGTGAGGGGTGTGCCGAAATGGGGCGGCGGCGCCACGCGGACCCTTCCACTGGGGCCTTCGGTGGATGTCCCTATTGGGCCACGAGCCGAGTGAGTGGTGCCGAAATGGACATGCGGAGAACAGAGGCAGGGATGGGAGGAGAGGCGCGGATGGGAGATGAGGGAGGAGGGGGAGGAAGGAAGGAGGAAAGCGGGGCGCTGTTCTCTTCAACACGAGGACCCAACACCACAAGATGGTTGGGAAAAAAGGTGTGGGATGACGAAACAAAGCCGACACCGCTGCTCCAGGGACCTCTCCAAGGGTGCGTTCTGCACAAAATCCCGAGGCGAATCCAGCCGCGGCGACGACGGAACGGCGTATCAGCATCTGCTCCTGTTCTGGAGGAGGAAGCATGAACACCCATGTCCCTCCAGGGACTGTGCAGAAGGTGCACAAACATAAACCGTCTGAGGCCCACGCGGATGTCTTGGATCGGCGCTGGACCTCCTCGATGGCGCGCGCGCCAGGGGCGGCACCAGGGGCGCAACCAAGTTCTTACCAGCGCTCGGACGTCCATTCCCCGTGCATGTTTCCAATCTCGCGCGTGCAATTATCTCTGCAAAATGATCCAAGATGCTTCTCGATGGTCCTCGCCGCGAAAGTGCACACGTACGAGCGAAGCCTAGATTTCGACAACGTCCGCTTGCTACAGTAATCGCGTCATCGCGCTGCAACGAGGGAACGCTGACGAAGGACCGGACGGGCTTTTCTGGCCACGGGCTCCACAGCCTGTGCTCGCGGAGCGGCCCGAGAAGCACATGGTCCCGCCTGAGCCCGAAGAGGCCCTTGCTTCAGCGTCTTGACTGCGAACCCTGCATGGACCTCCGAAGTTTGCATGATTGCTTTTTTATGCCCAACGGGAGAATCGCCCGAGGGATGGTATTGTGCAGCGCCTAGCGGCGCCCGACTCGACAGTGACAGCCGCAAGATCAGGAGGAGCTGGAATACGACTACTACTAATAGTAATCATAAAAACAAGGCATGTCGGATGACTTGTGGTACGAAGCCGCCCTGAAGCGCGTAGCCCGAGAATCGGAGTATCCCAATCGACCACAAGTGTGTATGCAGGTTGTCATGATTTTGCAGCTGCTCTGTTCTTCGATCTGCGCCGAAACAAACAGGCAGAGGTTGGAGGCGGCCGGCAGGGTCTGGACTAGATGGACCTCGGGAGAATCGGATAGGAAGGGGATAGGATGGCAAATCCGTTGAATATCGGTTGCCTGACCCCTCCTGGGGTCCATCGTGTGCAGCGTTTCACCAGAATCCGTTATAAACGGTCCTCGTGGGCGGCCAAGCGGGGGGCGTTCAAGAGGGGGGCGCGCAAATCAGGGCCGGAGGGCCGGTGCGCGGCCCAAAAGAGGGGGGGCCAGGGACGTTAAGGAAATGAGGGGAGGCGCCACGAAAGCTGAGGCAATCCCATGGCCCACGCCATTATACCCCGCCCCCTAGTCATCGCCCCCCTGTTGGCCGCTCCCGAGAGATAGAAAGGCACAAAAAAACCGCGAGCTTCCTCCTCCTCCTCCTCCTCCTCCTCCTCCTCCTCCTCGTCCTCGTCCTCGTCCTCCTCCTCCTCCTCCTCCTCCTCCTCCTCCTCCTCCTCCTCCTCCTCCTCCTCCTCCTCCTCCTCCTCCTCCTCCTCCTCCTCCTCCTCCTCCTCCCCCTCCTCCTCCTCGAGCCTCGCCCCCCTCGCCCCCCCTCTCCTGCTGGCCGGCGTGGGCGAGGCCCGCGGACACTTCCAGCCGGCTCCGGCGTCGGGGGGGGCCACAGGCGAGCCCGACCCCTGCCCCCCAGGAGGAGGAGGAGGAGGAGGAGGAGGAGGAGGAGGAGGAGGAGGAGGAGGAGGAGGAGGAGGAGGATAGGGGGCCGCATGCGAGCCCAACCCCCACCCCCCACGGTTTCTGAGAGGGGGTGGGTGGGGCTCACTTCGCTTGGGAGCTCCCGAACGAAGCGAGCCCCACCCTCCCCCTCAGAAATCAGGGGGGGGGGTAGGCGGTAGGGTTCGCAGGTGGCCCCCTAAGTTCTTCAAGCGTCTTGACTGCAGACCCGCGCAGACATCCGAAGGCTTGCACGATTCTCGCGATCGCTCGGGCGTCCATTCCCCGTGCGTGTTTCAGTCTCGTGCGTGATCTTTCTTCGCAAGGGGATCGAGGATGCTCCTCGATGGTGCTCGCTGAGAAAAAACGCACGCTCCGAGCGATGCCTAGAGTTAGACAGTGCCTATTCGCTGCAGTCATCGCGTCATCGCGCCTCAACGATGGAACGCTGACGAAGGACCGGACGGGCTTTTCTGGCCACGGGATCCGCGGGCGCGCGGAGCGGCCGAGAAGCCTGTGGTCCCGCCTGAGCCCGATGGGCGGATTTTGGAGGGAACATAAACATTACAAATACAAACAAAGCTCAACAGTGGTCAACACAAATAGTAGAAAAATCGTCCCCGGATTATTTTCTTCTACTTTTTGATTTTCCTCCTGTAGAGGGACATGCCCGACTTCACTTCAGCGTCTTGACTGCGGACCCCGCGCGGACCTCCCAAAGTTTGCGTGACTTTGCAGCTGCTCTCTGATTCGATCTGCGCCGACGTGGGCAGAGGCGGGCGCGCCTGCGTGCGTGCGGGGGGGGGGGGGGGGCGCTTCCAGTGGCGGGGCGGCAGCAGCGCCAGGAGCAGGCCGAAGGAGACGGCGAGCAAGGCCCCGGCGCAAATCCAGCGGCGGTAGGCCCACAGCAGCGCCCTGGCCTTGCGACGGGGCGCATGGTCGTCGTCGTGGTCGTCGTCCGTCGTCGTCGTCGTCGTCGTCGGTCGTCGTAGTCGTCGTCGTCGTGGTGGTCGTCGTCCGTCGTCGTCGTCGTCGTCGTCGTCGTCGTCGTCGTCGTCGTCGTCGTCGTCGTCGTCGTCGTCGTCGTCGTCGTCGTTGTGGTGGTCGTCGTCGTCGTCGTCGTCGTGGCCGTCCATCGTCGTCCATCGTCGTCGTCGTCGTCGTTGTCGTCGTCGTGGCGGGTGTCGTCGTCGTTTGTCGTCGTCGTCCATCGTCGTCCGTCGTCGTGGTGGTCGTCGTCGCCACACCGTTGTCGTCGAGGCCTGGGGGGCAGCTTTCATTTTCTAAAGGTCTTGCATTTCGCATGATCTTCGCTTCGAATATCGAAGGCCTCTCGTTTCGAGAGACGAGTGAGGTGGTGAGGTGGTGGGAAGTGGAAGGCAGGAAGAGTTGAGACAGAAGGGGAGCGGAAGGAGAAGTGAAGAGGTAGAGATATGGAGAATGAGCGCGCGCGCGCAACAAAGGCAAATAGGAAGAGGAGTACGAAACAGAACTAGGGAAAAAGAATGTGCATAATAGACAAAAGAAGAAGCGGCAGGAGAGGGGGATGAGGGAGCCTCCCCCCCTCCCCCCAACCCCTGTGCGCGTGGCCGACCCTCTTCCCGCCGTGTCTCCGGGCAGCGTTCGATCCTTTGAGCTCCAGGCCCGAGGGGTCCGGGGGGTTGTGCTTCATGCATCTGAGATGAAGGGCCTTGCCTTGGAGGTGTAGATTTATGTTGCTCTCATCGTACTTAAGGACCACATCCCAGGAATAATTTCGAGCACCCGGAAAAGTGTCGAAATAGTGTCGAAATAGTGTCGAAACAGTGTCGGACGAGTGCCTCCCAGGACCCGACACGTGAAAACTCTCGAGTTTCGTCACTTTTTGGTGCTCGAAATTATTTCTGGTGGTCGAGGCTAAAGCAGGTTGGAACATCATAAGTGTAGATGCCTGAACTGAGCCATTGCACTGGCCAGCCTCTCTTTGAGGGCGCTGCAGCAGATGCCCGACGGGCTTTATCTCTGGACCGCGAGCCATGCCAAGCGGGCGCGAGCGGGGAAGGGGTGGAGCCCCCTACGGTCAGGAACTTCTGCTTCGCGTGTCGCGGCGGCGGCCCTGGCGACACGCTATGCCCTGTGGGCGGACAGCGTGTCGCTCCGCTCCGCGGGGCGGGAGGCTGGGAAAAGGCTCTGGGCGATGACACGTGGAGTGGGGACGCGGATAGCCCTTCGCGCAGCAGCGTGGTGGGCAAGAACTGGCGGAGGGACACGCCACGCCATAGGTCCGGACCGCAGACCTGGGTGTTCCTGCTTCGGAAGGGCCAGTGCCACTGGGCCTCGGGATGCTGCCGACTCCACCGCAGGTCGTGAGCCTGCGCGCGCAGCCGCCTGCGGGAGCGGCAGATCAGGAGGCTGCCCACTGAGGCCACCCGGGTCCAGCCTTTGCTCATCTGTGTATGGACCACGTGCTCGGATCCTAGTGCTCATGCTTGCTCCTCCCTCCTCACTCCTCTGACACCGCCTCTTCCTGCCTCCCTCCTTTCGGCCTCCGCCCTCTGTCCACCGCGGACTGCCCGTCGGGCGTTAATCAATGGGAGGGCGAAGAATCGGGGGGGGGGACCGTGCACCTTTCGTGCCCCTTTTGGGCCCCAAGGGGCCCCATTCGGGATGCCTTTGGGGCAAAAGGCGCGCCCCATCCCACTCATGGCGCCCAACTCGCCCCGATTGCTCGCAGCCCTGCAACAAGTGAGGAGGGGGCCTGCCCCACCTCCCTCCTGCTACCTCTGCCTCTGTGTCCTCGATCCTCCCCCCTTGCCCTCAGGGGATAGGGAGGATCCAGACCACAGTGCTCCAGCCCAAATGAGAACACAAGCGAAACGCGCGTGAGCCCTGGACCCCAGGGTCGGCTGCACGTAAGAGTGACCCTGGGTAAGAGTGACCTTTGGTGCGCGGCTTTTTGGGGGGCGCGAGGAGGTCAACACACCAGCGCGCAAGATGCGAATATCGCGACAAGCGCGGCGATCGGCGGACCCCATTTGGCCCGCACCAAAGGTCACTCTTACGTCTAGTCGACAGGGGCTCTCGCCAGGGCCAGCCCTCCCTCCTGCGGCGCTCCTGCTGCGTTCCCGGGGCCCCGCCTCCTTCTTAAGAGACCCCCCTCCCTCCCCTGAAGGGCCAGGCGAAGGCAAACACGAAACAACAAATCGGACCGATCTCTCGATCGGAAATCTCTGAGAGTCGGCGGCCGCGGCCGGTTCAGAGCGTCCCGGAACGCTCTGAGAGCGTTCTGGAACGCCCTGGAACGGGCTCACATCTCGATTCCAGGCCCGTCGGAAAGAAAGGTACCTGCCAGATAGGCCAGACCGGACGCACCAGGCGACGACCCAGTGTGTGGGTGCGGATTCCTCTGGAGCCGCTTGGGGAAACAAGGTTGAAGGGGCCCAAGGACACACAAATGAAAAGACACAAACCCCAGGATTGACAATACTGCCCATCATTTCTGGAGGTTCGTCTTCCCCTCCACTTCGCAACTTTCCTACATATTCCGGGGAAGCGAGGATTCCTTGTGTCTGTGCCTATCTCCCCTCATGGGTTATGATTCCTCTGGAGGCGCTTGGGGCAACAAGGTCTCCGAGGAAGCCTGGACCCCCAGGGGCGGTGGGTGGGTCCGGTCGAGACCGTCGGGTGACCGTGGAGCCACCCAGGAGGAGGGGGGAGGACCAAGCTGGGTGCCCTCGCGCCATGTCTGGCATCCTGCCCCTCCCATTGCGCTCGGTGTTTATCTTTCCGCCGACGCGTGTCCTGGCGGACCCCTGGAACTCCAAACAGGACCCCATATCGCGGTATGCGCAATCGGAGACCCGGGGGGCAGCGTACACTGGAGGAGGAGGCGGCGGATGAGCAGGGAGGAGAGGACGAGGAAGGAGGACGAGGACGAGGAAGGAGGACGAGGACGAGGACGAGGACGAGGACGAGGAAGGAGAGGACGAGGAAGGAGAGGACGAGGAAGGAGGACGAGGACGAACAGCAGCAACGGAAGCTGGAGTGCAAGGGGCAGGCGGAGGAGCAGGGACGGAGGCAAGCCTCTTGCGTGCGTAGCGGAGCGGCAAAGGTTGTTCTCTGAGATGCTCGCTGAAACGGAGGGTGCCCAAACAGTTTACGAAGACGAGCTTGGTAGTGACGTTGACGAATATTGGGGCTCCGTCCAGTCTGGAGGCGAGCGTGACCTCCGGTGGGTCCAGAACTTCGTGTGTATGCAACGCGAAGACAAAGCGTCTCGCTAAGGGCCGCGACCCTGGGCTGAATCAGGTTTCCGCGGACCTCCTCAGGATTGATCCTGACGGCGCAGCCCCCCTCATCCACCCCCTCCTGGTGAAGACTCTCGTGGCAGGGTCCGAAGGCTTGGCTATCTACAAGGGGGAGGGATCTTGGCCAATCCGCAAAAAGGGTACTGGTCTAGTGCCTTGGGCAACCTGGCACCCAAAGTACACTACGCTTTCTTGAGAGAATGTCTCGGGACGTTCCTTGACGGATTGTTGCGTGATGCCCGGAGACTAGCTTCGCCACTCATATGATCAGTTTTTTTGGTTGCTGCCGAGAGGAAAGCCTCATCGCATTCATCCCAGCCCACGACGTGGCGTCGGTATTCCACACCGCCATTCGCGAGTTTGAAGTGCAGCTGCCGACTTCAGAGAAGGATATACGAGAGTTGGCCAGTGGCATCGGTATGCGTAGTTGGTGTAGGCCAGCTACCGAAGCTGCCATCCAACAATCTCCTCTCCTTGCTTCCGCCCCCCCCCCCCCTCACCTCTTCGAGCTCCTCTCCGAGTCTCAGCGTGCGGCTTGGTGTATGGTTTCAGGGGTACCCGAAGTTGCCTTGGCCCGCAAGGGCTCCAGACCTGTTCGGCCGACGTGTTGTACTGCGTCTTGTTCGCCCAAGTCCTCCAGGTGGCTGAGGGTTTACTCAAAATGAGTGGGTTCGTTCTTGTGCTGCAGCCAGGGGATCAGCTTGAGGTGTTTTGCCGCGACAGGAGGCCGGCCAGATCAAACTGGACAACTCGTATGCAGATGTTAACATGTTCCCTTGTGTTTGCCAGGAGTATATGCAGCTTGGCAGGGATGCGACACAGGCTAGTACGCTTGTGGTCGGTGCTGCTGCCAGGTACGGTCTGCGGTAAGTTTCACGAAACAGACAGCCAAAGTTGTGTTTGCAAGTTGGGAATAACACAAGAAATGGGTTGAGAAGGGCCTGTGGTTCACTCAGGATGGGAAGGTGTCCCTGCCCCATGCCGGGTTTTGGGCCGTCGTCTCTCAAATCACGCAAGACAAGTCTCTCGGCATGATTGTTTGTGCTTTGTGCGACGGTGGGGATCTGGGGTTTCGTAAACGGGGGTTTAGCTAAACGGGGTCTGCGACTTTTCCATATACCCCCGTTTGCTGTACCCCCGCTTACGGCGCCCAGGGCCGCCTAAACGGGGGCATAGCCAAACATGGAAATCGGCGTTCCCCGTACACCTGTTTGCTGTGCCCCCGTCTCTGGCGCCCTGAGGGGAGGGAGGGGTCCAGCTGCCAGACCGCCAGTCTGAAGCAGCACCCTTCGGATCCGAATCGTGTTTTTTGGCTGGTGCTCTCTTGCAGAACCTGCCGGTGGGTTGCCCTGCAGGGGGTCCTGCGTTGGATGTGCCAGAGGTCGCCACTTGCTGCATTGTGCCTCTGGACCTATTCTTCGATTTCCAAGCCCAACGTGACTGTGCTCTCGGAGGCGCGGCATCCGCCCGCTCTGAGTGCTCCTTTGCAGCTCACATATGGGGTAGCCTCGGTGGCAGCGATTTTGGCACTGCGCAGCGCAGGAGGGGGAGGAGGAAGAGGAGGAGGAGGAGGAGGAGGGAGGGGAGGAGGAGGAGGAGGAGGAGGAGGAGGAGGAGGAGGAGGAGGAGGAGGAGGAGGAGGAGGGGGAAGGGGAGGAGGCAAGCTAGGTACGCTCGCGTCATATCTGACATCCTACCCCTCCCTCCCATCCCTTACCATGGCGTAGATCCCTCTCTACTCGCACAGTCGGATGTCGAGCAGGGCAATGATCCCGAAAGGGTACGCGATGCATTGTAGAGCACGGCATGGCATGGCGTAGAAGAGCACCGCAAAGCGTAGCATCAACCTAGCATTGCATTGCATGCCGTGGCATGGCACGGGAAATGACGCCAGCGCTGCAGCGGGAGCACGAGTCGGAACGAGCGGAAGCGCGCAAATGAGGCCAGCGCTGCAGCGGGAGCACGATTCGGAACGAGCGGAAGCACGGAAATGAGGCCAGCGCTGCAGCGGGAGCACGATTCGGAACGAGCGGGGCCCGAAGATGAGGCCGGCGCCTCAGCGAGAGCAGCATTTTGGAAAAACATGCAAGCGAAAACCCAACTCCGGGGAATCCTGTGCAAAAAAACAGTACGCGGGGGGGGCTAATATTATTAAACCGTCATCAGGGGAAGGGAGAGTAGTATTCATATGGAGTAATTGTAGAAAGAGGAGGAGAAGGACGAGGAAGAGGAGGAGGAGGACACGGAGGAGGAGGGAGGAGGGGGAGGAGGAATGGAGGAGGAGGGAGGAGGAGGAGGACGCGAGGAGGAGAGGGAGGGAGTGGGAGGAGGAATGGGAGGAGGAGGAGGAGGAGGAGGAGGAGGAGGAGGAGGAAGGAGGAGGGGAGAGAGGAGGGAAAGAGGGAGGAGGATATGGGAAGGGAGAGGGAAAAGAAGAGGAAGAGGAGGAGGAGGAAGAGGAGGAGGGAGGGAGGAGGAGGAGGATCAGGAGGAGGAGGTGGAGGAGGAGGAGGAGGAGGAGGAGGGAGGGTGGAGGAGGAGGGAGGGTGGAGGCAGAGGAGGACAAGAAGGAGGAGGAAGAGGAGGAGGAGGAGGATGAGGAGGAAGAGGAAGAGGATGAGGAGGAGGAGGAAGATGAGGAGGAGGAGGAAGAGGACGAGGACGAGGAGGAGGAGGAGGAGGAGGAGGAGGAGGCTGAGGAGGAGGAAGAGGAAGAGGAAGAGGAAGAGGTGAAGGAGGAGGAGGAGGAGGAGGAGGGGGGGCCTGCTCCACCAACCCCAGCTCGTCCCAGTCGCCCTCTGCCTGTGGCACGTGGCCCTCCGCCCTCTCGTCGTGCAACCCCTGGAACAGGCGCTCCGCCATCTTCTTGCTCCTGGCGCTCTTTTCTAACCCGCCTCCAACTCATCCCTAGCCCTACATGGCAGTTTTGAATGCACTGGATTGAAAACAACCCTTGGATTCTAGTACATGACTAATTCATGACTAAATGAATTCATCGTTGTTTTTCATGCTGAATCCCTGCAGTTTAATACATGATCCTCACGCGGAGCATGTATTGAAAACGGCACTGTAGGGTCGGCAAGCCCAGGGCGATGGAATCTTAGGGATGTGCCCGCAGAGCCTGAGGCGGCCTTTAAGATCGGCGCCGAGGTGGGGTGCCGAACATAGGAAATTGAAAAACGCTTCGCGAGTCCCCACCAATCCATCCTAAAGCAGCCAGTCTAGGGAAGGGTACCGTCTATCCAATGACGATGCCCAGAGGATCTGCCTCGATCAGGGAAGTGGGCAGCACACAAAAGGAAGGGTCCCTCTTGGAGTGCTCTTGGGACACCCTTGGGCGCTCTTGGGGCCGTCTTGGAGCTCTCGTGGGCCTGTCTTGTATCTTGGGGGCCTTTTGGCGGTCCCGGGGTCCTCTTGGAGCGTCTCGGGGGCCTCTTGGGGGTCTCTCGGGAGCCTCTTGGAGGCCTCGTGGGCGCCTCTTGGGGCCTCCTGGACGCCTCTTGGGGCCCTCTTGAGGCGCTCGTGGGAGCCTTGGGAGCGCTCTTGAGGCCATCTTGGAGGCCACGGCTCAAAAACGAGCGCGGCGTAAAAATGGGGCCGCACCTGAATAAAACCAATGATGCTGGCTTCCCGGCCGAGGCCGTTTTGGACGCTCCAACGACGCGCGCCCCCCCCCCCTCCAGGCCCAGAGGGAGGGGGGAGGGGGAGGGATCAAGCTACCCACCCGCCCGCAAGCCGTCTAGCTCACTCCTTCCCGCCCTCCCTACCCATAAGTAACACCCGAGCCTGAGCATGTTCAGCGGTCGTCTTTGGATGGGCAGCTACTGGGAACCAAAGCCGACCCCAGGTGCGCGACGTTTGGGCGAGGTGCGCCACGCGTGCCAGGGGCGCCACGCGCGCCAGGCACCCCTGAGGCCCGAGCGGGCCAGGCACGCCTGGTGCGCCAGATGCGCCACGTGCTCCGAATGCGCTAGGTGTGCCGCACACTCCAGCCGCGACAGATGCGCCGCGTTCGGGGCACGTGCAGAGTGCGTAAGGTGCGCCTGTGCACGTGACAGCACACATCCAGAAACAGGTCGGCCCCCGCCATCCTTGTCGAAAACAGATGCCCATCATTGTGTCTCCAGGGCCTGCGCACAGCAGACCACGCGCCACCACCCCCGCCGTCCCTATCAACAACCACTTGACAGTGATCGCGGGATGGCTGCGCATGAACCAGATTTAGCCAGTTGCATGTTGTATGTTTTGTGCCAGGGATGGTAGCCCTGCGCACAGCAGGGAATATGCTGACACCCCAGCCGTCCTTGTCAAAAACAATACGAAGTGCTCGCGGGCCTCACGAATATGACTCTAGACTTTGCCCAGAAGTGTACTTTGCATTGTTGCTTGACTGGGATGGTGGGGGGGGCGCATCGGGTTGGCCGCACATGCTTCAAATGTGGAGGCAGAGTGCGGTTTGTATTGTACTTTGACAGGGATGGTGAGGGCGGGTCGGCATGGTGTCGGCATGGTGCCTGGTTGGCCCCCGGTCGCCTGGGGGAGGGAGTGTATATACATAACGAACAATGATCAACCCCTCCCCAAAGGGTAAGAAAGGGGTTGGAAAGAGGGGGCTCTCTAAACCACTCACGCCTTCAACGGGCTCGTGGGATTCTAGTGCTCGGCGCCGAGGTGAGGCGATCGGCACCGAGGTAAGGAGGTGCCAGCTTCTTGCTCCTGGTGCCCTTTTTGAACCACCTTCCAACATATTAGGGAAACGAACTCTATACACCGACGCTCTTCCCGACCCTGCGCTGAAATTCGCACAGGAACGCGGATTCTGGTGTATACGAGATCCTGGTGTATACATGTTTCGTTGTTTCCCTTGAAAATGGGGGAAAAGTGTACACCACACCACCCCGACGTCGCCACTGACCCTTAAAAAGTCGTGGGATTGAAAATCAGCCCGCCACTGGTAATGTATATGTTCCAGTTTGCGACTTATCCCTCACTACCTATGGCTTCCTCGCAAGCATCCACAGGCGTCGGCGTTGGCCCCCTAGCTCGTGCCCTCGGTTCGCCTCATGAGCCAAGTGCCAGCAGCGCTCGCAGTAGAGACCACGATGCGAACGCGGGAGCACTCGTGGGAAGCTGGGCGAGGGCTGCTAAAACCGTGGCTGCTAAAGCGGCCCACCAGGAAAGAAAAAGCAGCTTCCCGGAACGAGGCGTGGCACGCGAAACAATCCACGGGCTCATTCCCAGAAGGACGAAGACAACTCGCCGGAGGTCGATTTTAGCAGCCACGGATTCAGCAGCCCTTGCCCGGCTTCTGAACTAGAGCGTTGCGCGCGCATGCCTCGTGGTCCGAGCGATCAGGCATAGAACCAGCACCGCACATCAGCAGCAGTCCAGGAGCCACAGCACAGGACGTGGCAAATGGCCGAGCCCCTAGATACAAAGGACCCTTCTAACCCTTTGGGAGGGGACCTCAGCCAGGAGGGCTAGACACATCAGGGAGATGGGCTCTTTTCTGCTGATGTATCGAACCAAACCGCCCATATCTATTATCCCGAATGCAAAGGTGTGGACCTCAGTGAGGCTACGTCTTCCTCGTATTATTGCGGCTCGTTTTTTATCGCTGATAAAACGCCACAGTGGGCAAGCCCAGAGCGATAATAAGCCTCAGCATGTGCCCTGGGAAACTGATTGTCGCCGCGGTGAGGGGATGCCACAAGTAGGGATAAGGATCTGTTTCAAGCTGGCATTGCTTGTTTGGGGGGGGGAGACGCATGCGCAATCGACCTCGCATTGTGGTGGAGAGACCGCGGCCGAACCGCGACCCCGAGACTGTCGGCCGAGGAGCCGCTGCTAGAAAACAGCTGCCGGGGCAGCGCGCCTAGGGGGAGAGGGAGGAGGAGGAGGAGGAGGAGGAGGAGGAGGAGGAGGAGGAGGAGGAGGAGGAGGAGGAGGAGGAGGAGGAGGGAGGGAGGAGGAGGAGGAGGAGGAGGAGGAGGGAGGAGGAGGGAGGAGGAGGAGGAGGAGGGGGAGGAGGAGGAGGAGGAGGAGGAGGAGGAGAGGAGGAGGAGGGGAGGAGGATGAGGGGGGGAGGGGGAGGAGGAGGAGGATGACGAGGAGGAAGGAGGAGGAGGAGGCAGGAGGAGGAGGAGGAGGAGGGAGGAGGAGGAGGAGGAGGAGGAGGAGGAGGGAGGAGGGAGGAGGGAGGAGGGAGCACGGAGGGCAGAGCACGTGGCCCGTCTCTATCTGTTTCGCCATACCTGCGCGCCCGGGACGGGCCCCGCCCCCCTCTCTCTCTCTCTCTCTCTCCCCTTGCTCTCGCCACGCTGCGCACGCTGGCGCCGTGCGGGCATCGGCCAGCCGTTGAGCATGCCCAATCAGCGCAGGCGCGGATCGTCACGGGGCCGGCCCCCTGCAGTGAAAACGTCTAGTCAGGACGCGTGGTGAGGACGCAAGACCCTTGGAGGCCGAATTTGGGATTTTTTGGGGGGCGGCGGCGACCAGTGAAGACGGCAAAGGACGGACCACAGAGGCAAGGACGCAAGGGTATCCTAGACGAAGGCGCGCGTCCTTACTGGGCGCGTTGACTGTACCCCCTCCGCCCCCCCCCCCCCCGCGTCCCGCCCGATAGCGCGAGTGGATACAAGAATCGCTCTCTTGTGGCAGCGCGCTGGGGCGGGGGGGGGGCGGTCAGGGGGGAGCCCTTCGCCCGACGAGGGGCCCTGCCCCCGCCGGGGGCCGGGGGTGCGAGGGCGGTGCCAGTCCGGGGGCGTCCCGGGCAGGTGCGTCCGTGAGAGGAGGGGTGTGTGTGTGTGTGTGTGCAGATCATGGCCGGAGGCAGGCGCGCGCCAAGGGGGGCCACGGGGCGCATCGGAACAAGAAGAGGGCTCGCCATCGCTCGGACGTCCATTCCCTGTGTTTTTTTCGGTATCGTGCGTGGCTTTTTCGCCACATGATCAAGGAGGCTCCTCGATGGTCCTCGCCGAAGGAAAAATGCACA